AGTAGTATGATTTTGGCGGTCGCGGTTCAGACCGATGACTCGCAACCCGCAACTATAGTTCTGAAACAGCAACCCGCAACCCCGCAACCCTCCGCAACCCGCAAACCCTTATTACCACCACCGGCACATCGCTTACGTGCGCGACATATCCGTATACGTGATATACCTACTATATATAGGTGATAGACGGATTGCTCATTTTAGTTTCGTCTTAAACGGTGATGATTGACTTGAGAGACACTTTAACATGCAGGTTTTTGCATTTTTTTTTAAATTAATAAATATACATTACAGGTTAGGTTAGGTTAGGTTAGCAGGTACTTTAATTTAATACTAACGGTTAAAATATAATCCAACGTTTAATGATTGTTTGTATGAATGTTATATAACTTATAAACATGGAATTTATATTAACACTTTTGTAGACTTTTCGAAGAACTCAAATGTCGTTACGATGACGAACGTGATACGTTGATGCGAAGGTTGATAACTTTTGAAGAGGAAAGGCCTACACTCGACATCAGGATCGTTACTCTGACCACCGAATTAAATCAACAGCGGTCCATCAACAAAGCTTTGGATTTACAGTGCTCGTAAGACTCAATTTATAATTGTGTGTTTATGTCAAATATATTATATACAGCTACATCATAACGGTACAACAGCCCGATGGTTACCTACGGTGTGTGCATATATCTACAGGGCCTTAATAAACCATAAACGATAGTAGGGGAACTCGATATATACGAATTTAATATAACATCATCGTAAATGATCATGATAATATATTGCGTGAGCGTCCCATTTTAAACGTCTACACCCCGTCCAAAGTTGAACATTTTTTTTTGTAGGTATATCTATATAAATATAAAATATTATGATAATTTAATATTATAATATTATGTTTGATGTGAATGTATAAATATGTTTAAAAAAAACACCGTATAAGAACATGATTTCGACTTATGAAAAATCTATGCCTTCATACGCAGGACGCGTCATGTTCGACATGATACTCTAATACTCTATAATATATATATACGCGCCCGCCGGGGGTTATCCGACATCTGACTATCGAAGTGGTTACGATTTATGAACATGAAATGCATAATGTTATGATTTGCATATAACTAAACATTTGTTGACTGTTGTTATTTGTGGCTTACATGTATTTTATATCTATATATTGATCGGAAAAACAATTACGCTTAACCATTTTTCGCGTATATAGTTTTAAGTTGTAGAAACTAGAAAGTTTATGCCTTATTATTCATTTAATAATATCACAACTATACGTTAGCGAAACGTGAGGATTATTCGAATGGATTTTTCATTTATTTTTTCTTATTTGGATTTTTAAGCTTTGCTTTACGGGATATTTGTAAACTATAGCCATTGGGCATTTTGATATATATATTTCCCTTATGACGTGCGTATTCGACATGTATTATAATGAAGTATCTATGAATTCGCATTTCGTTTATCGTTTACAGGCAGTTAAAAGCGAAATGTGACGCGTTGGAGAAACACCTGTTCGATTGTGAGTCGGAGAAGAACACCAACAAGAAACAGTTGGCGGATGCCATGGTGTTCCTGCGAGAAACCATCAACGAACAGGAGGCGCTGTTGCGTCGCGCGGCCGGCGAAGGCAGGAATGACGCTTCGGCCGCTGTGTTGAGCGCCTCCATAAGCGCCCGGGTGAAGGCCCTCACCGAACACCTAATGGTATGTATTAATTATGTGCCTCAGCGGTATTATTTTCGCCCGTCAACGTCGAAGGGATATCGTTTGATTTATATACAATATTTAATGTAATAATATAGTTAATAGGTAGTACCAGTGATGTATTGGTAATTTTTTTCTAGGGTATACGCTTAGCACATAAGCTCAAAAAAAATTTTTTCTAAACAAACAAAAAATTAACTTATGGTGGGTCGTGCGGTATACCACCGCGCCTTTATATGTCGATTTATTTACCTAGCCCCCCCCCCCCCCAGAAAAAGGATTTTAGACATATTGCATCAGGATGAGATGGAGTTACAGTGCTTAAAAAGTTCCTTTAAAAAAGGAACTAAATCCTTTACCATTCCTGCCTTGAAGATAGGAATTAGTTCCTTTCCTCGTCCCTTTTTAATATGACTTAAAATAAAAAAACATAGGTACATCGCACATGTTTATACTATAATTGTTTTAACTTTAAAATTTTAAACATAACACATTGTTATTTAGACATTTAGTAATAGTTTTAACTTATATATTTAATAAGCTGTATAAATAAACCTCTGCTACAGAAATACAGAATTTATATTTTGTAAACATTATCAATAATATCGTATACATGTTTATTTTTATAGCTCTTCATATTAGTTACTAAATTTTAATAGAAGCTATACATTTTTTTTCCTTTTAGTTTTAAAAATGATTTAATTACTTTTATTTAAAAATAAATGAACGAAGAAAGGAACGAAAAAAATCGTTCATGTTCCTCTAAAAAGGGAACGAAATTTCAGTACGTTGCTAAACATGAAAAAGGAACTACGTTCCCGATAAGTTCCTAAAAATGGAACGAAATCAAAGGAAGGGATTCCTTTGAACGAGTTTATTCCAAGCACTGAGTTAGAACTTATTTTTTGTTACATATTTTCGTTCTGTTTGCTATGTAAACAGTAAAAAAAAATTGATCTAATACATTTTTCTAACGATTATTATTATAAGACAATTGGTAATTAAATAAAATCTTTTTTACTAAGAATATATTCTGAATAGTAATATATTACATAATTTCATAAATATAAAATAATTGACTGTCGACTGACTATAGAATCTGAAAATCCTTATCAATGTCGCTGTTTTCTACCAAATCTAACTGATTGTGATAAGGCATCTGTGAATAACTGTTTTAGATTCTGAGTGAAACGATGAATGTATTGATTTTACAATGATGTGTGTTTTTTTATTTTTTTATTTTTTAATTTTTAATTTTTTAATTTTTTTTGTATCTGTGTACACGATAAGTAGTCGAAATAATGCTTCGATTTTCGACTTCAGTATCTTGTTCGATTGGAAAGTGAATATCGTTGGTGCATTGGGGAGGTCAAAATTTAAATTTCCCAGTAGTTTTCACAAGCGCCGGGAAAAACAACATAAAAATTAAGGAAAAACGGGAATTTTTACGCAAAATTGATTTTCCAAAAAATCGATTTTGGTTATTGGTGTAACTCTAAAACAAATGAACGTATATACATGAAATTTTCACTGGTTGTTTATATTTGCATTTTCTATACACGATAACATTTTAAAAATATTTTGATTTATTTTGAACTGTTTAGGGACATTTTCATTTTTCGTTTTTTTTTAGTTTTTTTTCTAGAAATATCAATAAAATTTTATTTGTTGGTTGCGAAAGCTTGAAAATTTAATAGAAGGCTCCTAATATATTGTTTCAAAGACAGATGAAAAATATTAAAAATCCTTAGTCACAATTTTTTTTTATAAGCATTTAAAGTTCAAAAATTGACAAAATATGGAAAAATCACGAAAATTAGCAAATTATTTTGAGTTAAGAATTCGTAAAAATTTTTCTTTTTAAATCTAAGATTTGAAAATCTAATACAAGATTACTCATAAGATTGTCTACCTTTATCAATAAAAAAATCTCTACCGGAAAGTCAAATTAAATTTTTATGAGCGTTTGAAATTCAAATTTTTACAACATTGGATATTCACTCGATTTCTCATGTGGCAATTTCCTTTTTTTGTTGTAATTAAAAAACGAATTACTGTAAATACATGAAAATTTCACTGAATGTTTATATTAGCATTTCCTATACACCATACAATTTTGAAAATATTTTGACTCTTTTTGAGCCGTTTACGGACATTTTCAGTTTTCAATTTTTTTAGTTTTTTTTTCTATAAATATCAATAAAGTTTTATCTGTTGGGCCAAAAAGTGTAAAAATTTAATACAAGGCTCCTGATATATTGTTACAATAACAGTTGAAAAATATTAAAAATACATAGGCACAATTTTTTTTATAAGCATTTAAAGTTGGAATTTTGACAAAATTTATCAAAATATCGAAAATTATCAATCGTTGGAATTAAAAAATTATAAAATGTTCAGTTTTTATAACTAAGAGTTGAAAATTTAAAACAAAGATTCTCTTAAATAATTCATACTGTAACCAAAAATCTAAAAAATATATGAACACAGTTAATTTTTACAGACATTTTAAATCCAAATTTGGACGAAATTACATATTAAAATCAATATTAACGATCTTGGTTTTTCGTTGTAATTTAAAAATAGTATTCGGGGATATATGATACCTAATGGATATTGTGATATGATTAATTTGGAATTTATTATAGGTATCTATTATAGGTCAATTTTTTTTAATACCATCGATAAGTATATGTCTTATACCTAGATTGACATACCGTCTCCACTCAGAATCGTTTTTCTTATACAATGATATTATATCATTGAATTCAAATTTAATACCATCCATTATACCATGGTCCATACTCCATGACCCACTTGTAACCTACAGTACAGCAGAGCGACATCCACTTACCCACCTTTTTTTTTTGAAGCCGCTGTCGATACAATAAATACAATATCATTCTTATAATCAGCAGTCTCTCAAGTCAACCATAACTATACAGATAATATTATAAAAATATCTGTGGACTGTGTCCATTACGTTGATAGTTTTAAATAATTGTATCCATATAGCCGTGATTATATGAATTTGATATTGATATGATGGTTATTAGTCGATTATCATTAAAAAAAATTTGATCATTTTCCATCGTTGAAAATAAAGATAAAAATATTTTTTTGGAAGCAATTACTATTTTATTTTACTTAAGTTTTTTGAAGGTATACGTGGGTATACGCACGTATACTTGCGTATCTCTAGTAATTTTACAGGGTATACGCTAAATCAGTAAACTGGTGATAGGGTATACGTCGTATACCCGCGTATATACCCTCCAAAACACCACTGGGTAGTACAATACCAATATATAAACAATTAAAAGCATTATTTTTTGTTGTCCCTTAATGGCACTTCATATTTTGCTCACTTTACCCACCAGATTTGTACACCACTGACGACGATTGAATTGTGTTAAAGTGCGTCGAACAAGGTGCGCATCAGGAAGTGAACCGTTTGAGCGGCCCCCTGTACGAACAGTCTGCTGAGCTGGAACGAATGAAGAAGACGTACGAGAATGAGATCAACGCACTGAACAACGCCCTTCTCCAGAAGCAGAGCGTTATAGACTCGATGGACGCAAACCTGGAGAGATAGCAATGGTGCCCATGCGCCGCTTTTTCTTCGTCGTGGTGCCGTAGTCTTAGTCAGTACATATTAAGAAGGGTATAAATAGAGGTTGTAATAATATTGGAAATCCAAATAATAACTAAAATAATATCTATAATATATAGCTTTATAAAAATACTTTTAATCAAAAAAAAATGTAACTTAACCTCAAAGAATTAAAGTGTGTTCGTATGAAATATGTATTTTAAGTATAATATGTTATAATATGTATTATTAAATATTATTACTATAACTATTATTATTATTATTATTATTAATGTATTATTATAAAATTTTCGTTATGTAGTCGTAGGATTTTCAGAAAATACTTCACGAGAAGACGGATACGATAACAATT